GAAAATTTTCTGAAGGGTCCAGACCCGAAACGTCAGCTTTCCTGCTCCTCTGATGCTGCCTGCCTTGCTGTGTTCATTCAGCTCCACATCTTGTTATCTCAGACTCCAGCATCGGCAGTTCCTACTGTCCCTGATTTGTTTAATCTATCCTCATAACATAACTTCTGAAATCTAAGTATCTTCTTTGTAAGCCTGTATTGAACTCCCTTCAAGGCCAAAATATCCTTCCTAAGGAGTGGTGCCCAGATCTGCTCACAGTACTCCAAGTGGAGTCTATCTAGGGTTTTGTTCAGCTGCAGTGTAACATCTGCAAGCTTATATTCCAGCTCTTCAGATCGGAAGGCCAGCATTCCATTAGCCTCCTTGACTATTTTCTGCACCTGTTCATGGTATTTTAAAGAAGAATGCACCTGAACTCCCAAATCTCATTGGACATCCATTATTTTTAACTTTGTGTCTTCTAAAAAATACCCTGATCTATAGTTTTCTGGTCAGAAATGGATAACGTCACACTTGCTTATATCAAAATCTATCAGCCACAGCTCTGCCATTCATCCAATCTATCAATATCCTGTTGTAATTTTATGCTGTCATCAACACTGTCTACAATGCTGCCTGATTTTGTGTAGATGTTGTTTTAATCGTTTTGATTTATTAAATTAGGCTTTGCTACATTCATTTCTCCTCAACTCTTAAGTGTAATTTTCTTGGCTGACAGAGCAGGGAAGTGGCCTACCAAGGTCATTTCTTCTCTGGCATGAGCACCTCTCCCTTCCTTCAAAATTTTCCTTCTTGCCTTGTCTTCTCTGTATCTTGGCACAATTACTACTGGAACCAGCTACTTGCTATGTGGGGACACAGAGTTAAACTCATTTTTTACAAACTGTGATGGTTTTAATGAGGGTGCCATAAAAAGAAATTGCAAGAAATGTTCAACATGCAGTGTTTTCATGAAAATGATTTGCCATATCATCTATGTGAAACAGACTTCATGATCACATTACTTATGCATGAAATCATCAGAATTACAATGACGCATTTCTGGCTTATTTCCCTGTCTGAATAAATAAAGGTTTGTCAAACATTTCTTTGTGGTGACAGTGTGCTTTCTTAGCAACAACTTGAGAGTTAGATAGTGCTGATGATTCATTTGGGAGTATAGGCATGGAAAAGTAATATGGCTAGACTTGGAATATATCTGAGTTAACAACCACAGTCAGTACTGATGCATTCCAGTCTTTATGATTATTTTCCCATTAATGATAATTTACTACTTTGACAATTTTACTGACTCCTTCAAGTGAGGAGACATTGCAAGATATTTAGCATTCCATATATAAATAGATTTTGATATACAAAATGGTTGGAAAAAAATTAAAAAAGAGATCTATCTGAATTATATTTATTGGTAAAGTAATTTGCTTTTATGATGATTAAGTCAGTGAATTCCACTTTTCAAATAAACATAATACAATAAAACTGACAGTGTACCTGGTTCCTCTTTCAGTTTGGAAGAAGGACCAAGTTGACTGATTTAGGCTATACAAGGTGTAAAGCTGGATGAACACAGCAGGCCAAGCAGCAGCAGAGGAGCAGGAAGGCTGACGTTTCGGGCCTCGACCCTTCTTCAGACTGATTTAGGCTTGTTGAATATGGCTTTATATAGGAAGATGACTATTTGATCCATGACATCTGTGCTAGCATTTTGAAAGAACTATTCAGTTAGTCTGAAACCCCTGCATTTTTACAATAATCCATACTGTTTGGACAAACAGTCCTATTTTAGTTGACCATTCTGGTAGGTAATGAAAATTATTATATCATGCATAGACCATATGTGCTCTCTTACTGTCGGTCATCATTATTTGATAGTCTATAGAATGCACCTATAGTGTAAAGGTCTCTATTGTTTCTCAGCTCTCACCAAATAAATTCTTTCCTTGAGTCCTGTAGGATATCCGGTCTTTCCAGAACGAAAATATATTCCTTATTTAACTCTGCTACTGCACCTTCTTTCTTTCCTTTCTTATACTTCTTGGTACCTTGTATCCAGAAGGATTTTGTACCTAGGTCTGCTGTTTATTTTGAGCTAGATATCTATTATTATCATGATATCATATTTCCAGGGAAAAAATATGAAGCTGCAGCTTGCCAATCAAATATAGCATATCATGCATTCACATACATTCATAGGAAACCCAATTTAGGTCTTGTTGTGTTCTGTCTTACTTTATCCAATGCTTTACTATTGCTAACTGTTGTGGTCCTCATGATGGGTTAAAACCTCCACAATGGCAACACAAAGACAGCTTGCAAGGGCATTGATACCAGTTCAATGTCGATGTAACCCATCCATCCTGTACAGGTTCCACCTTTCCTAGAATGATTCCCAATGCCCAAGGAATCTGAAGTCCTCCTTCCTACTTCAGCTGTGCATTCATCTTCTTGACACTCCTTTTTTGTACTCTTTAGTATGTGGCACAGTAAGTAACATTGAGTTTACTACCTTCTCAGGCTGTTTGCTAGTTTCTTGTGTAGATCCTATTTTCTGCCTGAAAGGTCACATCCTTCTTTCTACATATGTAGTTTGTAGCAACATCAACCATAATTGCTAGATAGTTACCCCATCCTCCCTTCAGAATGATCTGCAAGCATTCAATAAAACATTTGGTCCAGGAACCAGAAGGGCAACGTGTAATACCGGATTTATGTCTGTCACCACAGAATTGCTTATTTGTTACCTGAACTATAGCATTCCTTATTGATATTAATTTTCTAGTCTTCCTTCTGCTTTTTTTCCAGTTGAGTTAGCGGTAATACTGTGATATTGGCTGTGTCTGTACTCCCAAAAAAAGCATTATTCTCAACCGTGTTACTAACTAGAGTAGGATGCTGTCAGGGAGTTGTTACATTAAGAGCCTGGGCCTCTTTGACTGCCTAGTGTCGCTCATTTCTATTCTACCTGCAAACTCTTAAGTTTAGTGTTAGCACATCCAGTGACTTCTTATCCACATAGCCCTCAACCTCATGGATACACCAAAGTGATGGCAGCTGTCAGAATCCTGAGCTCAAGCACCTCCAGATGTCGATACTTCCTGTATCTCCATTTGTCTAAGTTCTCAAGATATGAGGAGCATTCAGGAGTTTTCATTCATTACAGATGTGTATTCCACACAATCAAAACTACCAGCCAAAACTAATTTTTTTTTAAACTAAACAAACTTAACAAATATGAACAAAAAAAGTTTTGGAAGACTTTTTAAAAAATAAATCACCAGTCAGCACCCTCCCTTGGTGGATGATGGATTAGAATTTGTTAAAAACTATACTCCTTAATGCTTATACTCACTCTGCTCTGCCGTTCAGAGTGAGGCCATTTTTCCTACTATGTTTTCAACTAACAGTTGCCAAGGTATTTATAGACTGGTTGATGTTATCATCTAAACCAAGGAGGACAGCATTGATACACAGATAAGAGAAATGTTCCCAACTTCTGTCAGAAAAGGCACATTATGACCTGGTCAGTTTGCTATGCTTTCTAATCATATCCAGCTGTTTAGCATCAAATAAGATTAGGAGATTATCAAATTTCTTCCCCATTACCTACATGTAAGTATTTGAAGCATGAAATAATGATATTTTTTGTTAAGCACCAACGTTCTTAACAATTCCTGAGGTAAAACTAATTAGGTGTTCATGCAGATCATTCAGTGTGTTTCATGCACTGTATGTGATTTCCTGAGGAAATTAAGTACTCACGTTTCTTCACCAGATTGAATACTGTCATTATTCATGCTCTTTTGCTGAAGCTGCAGCAAAAAAAAGCATAAGATCCTTTAATGTCTTGGACAGGCAGATGAGGACTGATTTAATTAACAATCACATCTATCTTAGAAAAATATCATATCTGCATCTTATTAATTTACTTTGAAAACATATTTCAATAAGATTGCACTCTTAAGTTGTCTGCATTATTATGAGAGCCATCAGAGTACATGCCAGTGAGTTGAAGGGTTTTTTCATAATTCCTCGAGACCTCAGTGTGAAATTTAATAGCTTGTAGGAATCTCATGAATATTTCAAATTCTCTGTCAAAGAAATTTCAAAGAAATAATTTCAAAGAAATTATATGCCACCCGTTTAGGCCAAGTGACCTGTACATTATTGACTTTTGACTAACCAAAGTCTACAACCTTCTTTAACATCTCAGGATATTCTATTTTATGTGTTTGCACTGAGTCCCAAGTAGAACCATGTTTCTATGTCTGTTAAGTTGTGATGAGTTATGACCCGAAGAATAAAGTGCAGCTACTTGTCTCTTCTGCAGAGATGGGAAATTTCATTCCTCTTCAAAGGGAAAGCACATTCTATTGATCTTAACATGAATAATGGAAATCATTCACATATTTATTGGTACTGAAGCAAAATAATGTACTTGCTGGAAATCTGAAATAAAGAGTAGAAAAGGCTGCAAACATTTAGTATGGCAGGCAGCGTCTGTGGACAAAAACATTGCAGGTCAATGATAATTCTTTTTTTTTCTCCACAATGCTTCTTGGCCTTCTACATACTTTTCCCATTTACAGTTATTACTTTAGTTTTCCATTACCTGTGGTATGTTGATTTTGAATTAGTGCACAATTTATTGGCACTGTTCTTTCAGGAATGCCACCTTGAAGTTTTACTCTTCTCACCAGTCGGATTTCAGTTTGTCTCTTCTAGAATCATAGAATTCCTACAGCGTGGAAGCAGGCCATTTGGTCCATCAAGTCCACGCTGACCCTTTGAAGACCACACCCCCAACACTATCCTTGTAACTCCACATTTCCCATTGCTAATCCACCTAGCCTGCGCATCCCTGGAATACTACAGACAATTTAGCATGGTCAATCCGCCTTGCCTGCACATCTTTGGACTGTGGGAAGAAACCAGAGCACGCGGAAGAAACCCATGCAGACAATGGGGACAATGTGCAAACTCCACATACAGTTGCCCAAGGGTAGAATTGAACCCAGATCCCTGGTGCTGTGAGGCTAACCACTGAGCCACCGTGCTACCCTACCTTCTATCTTGTTCATCTTGGTTACTTTCTAGTTCCAATCTCATATTTGATCAAGTATCTTTAGAAAAAGCCTCTACATTCACATCCACTTCCTTAGCATTTGTTCCCACCTCCACCTGTTCCATGTGGATCCAACTATATTTCCACCCTTCACAGCCACCCATGATTACAAACATCTTCCAGACATGTAGAATTCCTCACTTTGCTGTTCTCGCTACATTCCCAAATCTTAATGCCATGTATTGCCCAGTGCATACTCTCAACCTCTCTTGTAAATGGCACTGACTCACTCTATTTCAAAACTGTCTTAATTTCATTTCATCCATCATCTCATGTGGAGCTTTAACACTTCTTTTCCTTTTAGGTGTAAAGGATTGCAGGATTCAACAACTCATAGATACTAACACCCCTTTGTATGTCTTTTACTTCACTTTCCTCAGAGCCCATCTTTTTGAATATCTTTCTCTTTTCAAGTATTCATAGACCCTTCTGACCTTCCCCTCTCTGACTCTGGATTATCTCTCCTCAGCAAAGGCCCTATCTTTATGTCCACCTCAATAAATTTTACATTTGTCAGGATGATGAGGCCATCTTTCATTGACTCTGCTTTTGCATCCACTTCTTTGGTGCGGAGACTTTCCCTAACACAGCAAAATCTTTTACCCATCTCCAAAATACTCCATGTACCTCTACCACTCCTTAGTCTCTTAACATCTCCAGATCTTTTCATCAAGAACTGTGCTGTGGCATTGGCATAACATCAGTTTCTATGTTCCCCTCACTCAACCTAATTCTGACAAAGGCCAATCTGAAATGATAACTCCCTTTCTAGTTCACAAATTTTGTTTGATCTGTTGAGTTCTTTTCAGTGTTATGTGTTCTTAATTACAGATTTAATGACATTGAACACCTTTGCTGGAGTTCTCATAGCTCATCAAAGATAGCTGCAAGTTAAAATGATTATTTTGCTTCACATGATATAACATCAAATTCCACTCTAATCGTATCACATTTGGGAATAATGGTGGGCAGAGGATTCCAGTATGGCATGTTCTATAGTTTTTTGCAATCAAATCCAAATTTGACATAAGGGCCTAAAGGAGGCCTTGCACCCTCAATTTGCATGTACAATGAGTCTAATATCAGTTTGAGGAGCAGACTTCAGATACATACTGATAACTCCTAATCAATATGGCAGACAGTGTTGAATGGTGATTTTCAAGCCACCTCTAAAACAGGCAAAGGGGAATCCAATGTTGTAGCCCACAGTGTATGTTTACTAAATTATTTGTGGAAAAAAAAAATTTTCTATCTATTAAAAGTGTAGTGTTCTTGGATAAAGAAAAATAAAACAAAACTGGCATACAGTGCCCTTACGGTCAAAACGGCTGATTATAAAAAATGTAAAGTTGCTGCCACCCATGAGGCTAAAACACAATACTCTTTAATCAAGGGAATGAGAGACGGATGATGCTATGATAGCTTCATGAATGATGTAATGGCATCATGTTTGTAAAAATAAGCTCTTGCTTCTCTCAGCACACAAAACATAACCAGTTCACTGAGAGTTAGCAATGGTTTTCATGGTTATAACCACAACTGGGTTGAAAATATATTTATGGCTCATGATTTTTTTCTTTGATTAAATACCTGAATTAATTATTCAACAGTCTGTATGGTATAAAGATTTACCGACTGTCTTAGCTTTATCTGCAGTTTATAATAATCTAACACAATTCAAGCATAACTTTTCTTGGCATAAATCTGTATTAATCATGATTGGGCTGCAAGCACAGCACATGTCAACTTTATTTTGCTTGAACTTGTATAGAGAATAGTTCAGTTTTATGTGATTTTTAGACATAAGTTCATCATTAATGCTTTAACTGTGTACTGACTATAACATAACACAATTCATAAACCATCATCAGAATGAGAATTATGTTATGGACCAGACCAGGCCTCCTCAAAATATATTAAGAAGATAGCCTAGACCCTGATCTCCGCTTATTTTAAAGGCAAGTGCCAGGCATTCGGATGTAATTCAATTGATCAAACTACCAGATTTGAAGCAAAACATGCTTTATTCATACTCTATGGTTAAAATGCAATAAATTTAAAAAAAAATCAGTGTAGCTGCAACTCTATTGGAAAACTTAACAGAATAATAGATTATTTTACTACTAAACAGTAACCGTTCCAATATAGTAACATACCATAAACACCCGCTTGACAGAAGGCAAATTCAGAAAAACAGATTGTCTTACATGCAATTCCAGCAGCAGGAAGAGAACCCCAACTTTTAGTTGTAACTGAGAGATGTAAAAACAGTTTCCACTTCTTCAAGACCCCAATAGCAACTGAAAACTAGAACTAAAAATCCTGGTTCTGTGAAAGCTTGACCACCCATTCAGGTGCTTCTATTGTTCTAACTTAAAAACAAAACCCTAAAGGCCTCACAAACTATTTACACTAGTGGCTCTGCATAGACTGCTCAGTGCCTCTATCTTAAAACCTCTCTTAAAAAAGAACAAAATGCAGCTCTTAAATCCATAGTATCATCAAATTATTTCCAAGAAGAATGTATTTCTGCAAGAAGCCACAGTCCACAAGAGACCATAGTCATCCCTCTCAATCAGAGAAATGATTAGGCCTGTATTGTTTAAGGGTAACTCCTCCATAAGCATTGGGTAAATTGAGGAGGGAGGCCTTTAACAATTACCACAGCTGGTACTTGGACTGAAACTACCCTGTTGGCTTTAACATGCACCACACTCTAGTCACCTAGCTAACTGATTCCTAACATCAAAACACAGAGTATTTGCCTGTTAAGGAGGAAGAATGCCAGTGAAAAGAATGATAATGCATAAGCCCGATGAGGTTCATTGAAAAGTCCATGGGAATTAAAAATTAACTTCCGTTTACGTACACATATTGGTACAAATTTGTAATGACTGGATGATTTTCCTTGTGAGAGGAAGGCCTTGTTCCAAGCCAGCTATATGATTGGATGACAGTTACTCACACATAAGTCATGTCTACAGGGGACAGATCTGGTCAACTAACAACCAGCCTATATCTGGGACAGTGGCTTGAATAAAGAGACCTCTGAGGGCCATGGAAGGGAAATGAAACAGTTGACAGGATAACAGGTACACATCTATGTGATGAACTGCCATGGTCAGAAAATGCAAGTAAAGAATTTGTTACACATCCCTCATTTCCCTTCTTGAACTGGGGCAGTCCATTTGGTGAAGATACTTCTTTATTGCTGCTGGAAAGAGATTTTCATCATTTTAATACCACAAGAGTAAAGGAACATCAATATTCCTAAGATAGGGTACGTCTTGGGGGATAATTTGTAGGTCCTGGTGTTCCCATGGGTCTGCTGACCTTGGCTTTCTTGTTGGTAGGGTTTTAAATGTCCATCAAAGGAGCCATGGTGAGTTACTGCAGTGCATCTTGTATACATTGCACACTACTGCCAGTGTGTGTCGGCAGTGGAAGGAACGAATGTTGATTTTAGTGAATAGTTGCCAACCAATGAAGCATTTTTGACTTGGACGGTATGGAGCTTCCTCAGTGTAGTTGGAGCTACACTCATCCAGCTAAGTGGAGAATATTCCATCATACTCCTGACTTGTGTCCTATACGTGGTGAACAGGCCAAGGGGAGACACGAGGCAAATTACTCACTTCAGAATTTCAAGTCACTGACCTACTATTGTAGCTGTAGCATTACTGGTCC